CGCCCAGACCCTGCCTCTGCCGCCCAGACCCTGCCTCTGCAGCCCAGACCCTGCCTCTGCAGCCCAGACCCTGCCGCTGCCGCCCAGACCCTGCCGCTGCCGCCCAGACCCTGCCGCTGCCGCCCAGACCCTGCCGCTGCAGCCCAGACCTTGCTGGCGTGTTAAGTGGTTCCATGTATGGAAAAGACCCGAAACTGAAACATTTTATCCCATAACGACAGTAGTTCCAAGATTTCTGAACTGAAAATATGTTTTGTTGGGAAGGAAAAAATATTTTTAAAGAAATATTTGGATCAGGGCCTCCCCGGTGGCCCAGGGATTAAAGCCTCAGCGCTATTAAGCTCTCACCAGCCACTGCAGCCTGAGCTCCATCCCCGGCAGGGAGCTGGCCCACATGGTGAGGCAGACCTCTCGTGTCTCACCCGCTGCTCCCCTCAGCAGGGTGTCTCAGTAGATCCACCTCCCCACTGTCTCACCAGCTGCACCTTTGGCCTACCCCCCCCCGTTATTAGATGCATTAATTAACAAAAATAAATCTAAAAAACATTTGGGCCAGAGAGGGTTCCTTGGTGAATGCTTCAAGCTCTGCCAGAGTAGCAGAAAGCTGCCTCGAGGCGGCTTCCAGCTCTGGCTCCACCATTTACTGGGGGGCGAGCTGAGCCTCAGTTCTCTCAACTTGAAAACAGGAAGCCCACCTAGCAGCAGCATCTCCGAGTGCTGGTGCCGAGCAGAGCCCCAGAGAACAGGACGTGCCCCCGCTCCCAGGCATGGCCAGTGTGAGCTCACTGCAAGCAGCTCACCGCACAAACCCCTCGGCCCCACGTCACTCTTAGGCTGGACAATCCCTGTCCCGCCCTTGCTCAGGCAGCCGTGACTCCACCCTGGACTCTGTGCTAGCGTCTCACAGGGACACTGCCGAAGGCTCTCTCAGAAGGGTCTGGACAAGCCATGGGGTGGGAAGGTCTGGCGGAGAGGACGTCAGACTTGGGCAGAGTTGTGCTTGCAAACCAAACACACTGCGTGCTTCTGGTTACTGAAAATTCTGGAGGAGGCTGACAAAGCCCACAGTCCCCTGTGGCATCCCTCAGGTTCTCCCCCTGTGAGAGAATGAAGCCTTGTGGTGACTGATGCAAGTGGGAATTTTTTTAAGGTGCAACACACTGATGACGACTCAGGGAAGAGCCCACCACACAGCCCCAGAAGGGCCGGGCCCTGACACTCAGCCGTGCGCTCCGTCCTGGAGCGGACATCCTGAAATCCCCCAGGCCAGCAGCTGTGTAGAAGATACCTGTTGCTGTACGTGGCAGATTCCAGGTTACTAAACGAGAGGCTTTCACTGTACTTCTCAATAGCTTTCTTATGGTTTCCCTTCTTTACAAGCTCATTGCCTTCTTCCTTCAGAACTCTGGCTCTCTCCACATCCCCAGCAGAAGGCACTAGATACAAATTCAGAAGAGGAAAAAACCATGGAGCAGGTGCCCAACTGAGACTCAGATCTCTCTGGAATTGTCTCTGCTAAGTCATTCACAAACCTTTCTCCCCAAAGGTCTTATACTGTTGTTAGTAATTTTTTAGCAATTAACAATTTCCCCCCCATCATGGCTTCTGAAATATTAAACAACTTTTCATTCAGAAGTTGGACTCCCAATAGACAGATACATGCACATAACATACGTGACAAAAAGCCGTGCTAAAAGGCACTGGCAGCCGGGCGACTGCGTTTGACTAACTTGACCCTCAACTTCCTCACCAATACAATGAGGACAGCGTCTGTTCCACAGCGGGCTACCTGAGAATCCATGCAGACATGCACAACACCCTAAGACCTTAGAGCAGGACAGCATTTAAATTAAGCGGCATCTGATAAAGAAAGTGTAGCTCTGGGCTTCTGGAAAGTGTACAAGCCTGTTAGTCCTAATCTCTGCCTGGGGTTGTCTCAGCCCCCCACCCCCACCCCCAAAGGCAGGCAGGCCCCGCCTTCCAGGATGAGAAATGAGAACAGATGAAAGCCAAGCTCAGCAGTCTGCGTCCTCCGCTGAGTGGCCCCATTAATTATTGCGCCACCGCGCTGTATCTCCTGCTTTAATTTAAAAAAAAAAAAAAAAATAGAATACTGAGTATTTTGAACAAGGGGAAAGTTTTCGGAATAAAACAAAACTGAATGCATCTCTTACCTTGAGAAACTCTTAATAGGGCCTGGAGCCCTGGCATTCCCTCCCCAACTCTGCCCACCCTGGGGGCAACCGTTATCCTGATTCTGGCTTCCTTCCCCTCTTTAATTTTTGTTTTGGTGATCGTAATAGCCATAAATCATCGTCAGTTACGTAGTTTCTGGACTATCTGAAGAATAAGCGGCGCTGTGTTTTCGCCTAGGACCTGGTTCCCGTCCTCGCCCGTGTTGACGCCACCTGCTGCCCAGCCTGCTGCAGCTCCGCGAGCGCCTTTGCCATCCTGCTTGTGGGGCTCTGGCTAGTCTCTTTTGTCCTTTGCTGTTACATTCTGTCCTGAACATCCTGTCCATGTCACCTACGCACACGGGCAGTTCCTCTGGGGAGCCCGAGGGCTGCCCTGTCCACGCATCCCGGCTTCTCCTAGCCCTGCCACACTCCACAGCCTGAGCTGTGCTTGTTGCAGCTGCTCAGGGCGAGGCCCCACCACCCACATCCACCCTCAGCACACCTCTCTCTCTGCCAGAAGCCCTGGCCCTCCTCCCTTCCTACCTAAAGAACCACATGTAAGGCCCTGCTCAGCAGATCGCCTCTGCCGCCACCTTCTCTCTGACCGCACTTCACCAGCCCTGTTTTGAACTCCCTGATCACTAAAGACTCTAAAGCACTTGCTCTTCTCCAGTATTTTTAAATGCCATGTTTGCATGGCTCAGTAGCTCACTGGACTGAGCTTCCTGAGCACCAGGACCGCCCCGTGTGGTGCCCCTCAGGCACAGGGCCTGGGCCCCACGTGTCGCAGCGACACTGGAAGAACACAGCCAGCGCTGGGTGCACTGAAGCCAGCCAGCTCATCAACACCCCACACCGTGAGCCTGGAGAGAGCAGGGAACGCAGGCTCCCACAAACAGAGTGCATGCTCCTGGGCAGCCAGGTTCCCTCCTGGGGACAGCAGCAAGCCCTGGCCCCTCCAGCACCTAAGGTCGCATACACAGCAGGGCTCCAGCCCTGAGGTGACCACTCCCTGGCTGGCTGCACTGGGATAATCCTCTGCTGCATCATAAAGACCTGTGCACCTCTACCTGAAGAAGGGCCTCTTTGTTAGGGACTCTCTGGAGCAGAGTCTCCTGATGTAGGCCACTGACTTCTCCCTTCCCCTGTTCAGTTTTCCGCCAGGAACTCATGCAGTGGGAGTGGTTTGGGGAGGCATCACCCATGAGCGATGGATGTGGGTGGATGGCTCAGGGCTGAGCTAATCACAAACTTTCATCTGGTCACATGACTCATTCAGGGACTGGCCTGTGGTGTGAAACAGGGGTTCAGGGGAAGACGCCCTCTATTTCTAGGGAGCCATCAGACAGAAATAAAAACAGAAACTTTTCTTCTGGGTCATGTGGCGCAGTAATGGAGGACAGGCTGAGAACTACTACCACACCTTCCTAGCAGGAGAGAAAGCTGCCGGAGACCAGCTGACATGTCAGAGACAAGAGCTGGGAGCGTGCGGAGACCCGGAATCAGAGTCTGATCATGTGAGCAGCTGGGGCCCACCTTGCCTGAACCTGTACTGGACTTCATCCTGGTGATCCATCCCACAAGCCGCCAGAGGCCTGAGCAGGGACCAAGACAGCACGCCGGTGTGCCAGGCCGGGTGCTACTCGCGACATTTAATCCTTGCAGCTGTAGGGCGGTTTCCGCATGGTACAGTTAAGGAGACGTTCCTTAAAGGTTAAGATTTTTTGGTTTTGTTTTTACATTGCTTATCAGATCTTTTCTGTAGCTCAGCTTAAAAAGGCAGTTTTTACAGGCTTGTGCTAAAGAATGGAGCTACAAGGAGCCTGCAAGCCCCCTGGGCGGGGAGTCCCGGCTTACCTCTGCTTTGTGCAGCTGTGGCTTCTCTGCGCTTGCTTTTAGCTGTCTCTCTGTGGTTTTCTGAAGGCAAGGAGTCCCACCGCTTCTGCGCAGACACAGGCACCAAGGGGATAGTGGGCAGCTTCAGGCGCCACTCAGGCCCCAGCGAGTCCATGAGCGCTCTGGTCATTCTGGAAAAGCGGGCAGGGTTACAGGGGGTCTCTCGCTAGGAAAGCAGATGAGAGCCACTGATCACCTTCCCCTGCTGGGACATTCTTGCTGTGTCCTCTGACAGGCAGCAGGAAAGGGACATAAGTATCTTCTCAGACTTACCACCTGCCCCCTGGGCCCTCAGCTTAGCCAACTACGCTGCCTTCGAAGTGGGGTTCCTTTTAAGGGTCTTTAAACCTGGCCTCAAGGGACCACATATGCTCCAAGAAAGGATCAAATATTTTGTATTTCTCGATGGATCTATTTCAAGGCCATGTAACATCTGATACTTAATCTCATGCTAGTCTGAAACCTTAAGCTCCTTCAGCAGTTGCCACTTCCCGAGGCCAACAGGACCTGTAATCTGGTCAAGACCCCAGCCCCCCATCTCTGTTGTGCGCCACATTCTCCCTGGATTCTTATGTCCAAGCCTCTGCCTGGCTCTCCCCTTTACAAACACCAATTTCCCAATACATGTGTTAAATGAGTAAATCGTGCCACTATATCATTTTTCTGCTCCTACAACCGTGGTCCTGTTACTAGAATCAAAACCTTTCAGATTGATCAAACCTCACACTGAACCCCCTGAGCTTGGTCAGCACAGTCCTGACTACCTTCCTCAACCCTGCTCCCTCATCCACCTCCTGTTGCAAAGCAAACTTCCTCCGCCCAAATATAAACCAACCTGCAGGGGCACCCACGTACTTCTGCCACAAGAGATGACAAGGCCGCTCCTGGAGCTGAGCTCTGGGTCCCCTGGGTCCCCAAGCAGTCAGTCAGGCCCCCCCGCCCCCGTACCTTCCTCCCTCTGTTCCACGGACTTCAAAGACTTGTGTGTAAACATCACTCTTTCTTCACTTAATGAAACCTGTCCTGTCCTTCTGTCAGACTTCTGGAATCCACTGCCCTCTGGCTTCTGACCCCACTAAACAGCTTCCGTCAGAATCACCAGTGACTTCGTTCCTGAGCCCTCAGTCTAATTCCGTTTACTGGACACAGATGTCTCCTCCATCCCTTCTGTAATACTCCATGCCTCAGGACAGTAAAAGTCCCAGGTTTCCACTGCTGCGGCCACCACCGTTCCTCTGTAAGTCTCTCAAATGTCGGAATTTCTCAGAGCTCCATCCTCTTCGCTTTTCAACCTCAATCTACCTCCGGACTGATGACCTCCAATACTGTGTCCCTGCCCCACAGCTTTCTCCTTTGCCCAGGCCCATGTAAACACTCAACTGCGTCCATCTCTGGTCCCAGATCCACAGTCGCCTCTAACTCCGCATGTTGTCATCTGGATGTTTCTTCTATGTTTCCTCCCACCATGCCCCCATCGCCACAACATATCCACAGACCTCCTAAATGCCTGACTCGGTCCCACTGATCTCCTTCTCTTCTGGCTTGCAGCACACCTCTGCCTGCTCTATCCTCTCTCAGGTCACCTTTAACTTGGCAGCCATGAGCCGAGAAGACTGAAGTAGCGGTCCCACGCTAATCGGACAGGGAATCCCAGACAGAATGGCTGCAGCGGCTTGGGCTCACCTGTTGGTACCTTCCAAGGCTGACGTCACACTGTCATCAATCTGCAGCACCGTCATGTAGTCAACGTAGGCCAGGGGGTACTTCTCCAGAGCCTCGTAGGCCGATGCCCGCCGCAGCAGGGGCTTCATGCCGAAGGGAACCAAGGCCAAAGCTCTAGAGCAGGAGGCAGAAATGCCGTCTGACAGCTGTGCCGCCAGGAGTCCCTGGCAGCTCCCTCCAGAGAGGGTCACTGCAGCATGTCTACAGGGAGGTTCCGGCAGAGGTCCTGCTAGAAGGTCAAGTCTTAGCTGGGGGCTTTCCCACCTTCTGAAAGCGGGACAGGGCAAGAGCGCACGAACATCGTGGCACTGGTGTGCATGGACACCAACTCTGAGAGCTGGACTAGCCTCCAATCAAGAACAAGTGCCCTGTGTTTCCACAGGTTGTACTGGTGGAAAATAGGCTTGGAGCTAGAGAGTGTTGGAACTCCGCCTTCACTACCCAGTGACCTGGGCAAATCACTTTACTGCCTCAATCTTTTGCCACCTACTGCAACGCGGGGAGGGATGGTACCCCATCCAGTGGACGTGAGAACGCTAAGAAACCTACCACAGAGCCTGGCACAAGTCAACTTAGCCCAGGCTCACAAACATGTTCATCCCTCCTCTTTTCCCATCTATCCCAAGAACATGCGTCTAAGCCCATGTCTCAGACAATATCCTATCTGAGAACACCCTGAAATGTGCGTGCTGGTTTAGTCAAAGAGGGACTTGTCAGATTCCTTCGAGGAAGAATGGTGTACAAAACTGTTTCACATCCTTTACACCAGTCACTGATGGATGCCATTTTCTTCTTTTCCCTTGCTTCTCGAGACAACACCCTCTCTCCCTCTTTCTTTCCCTTCAGTCCTCTCTCACAATACACCCACTCCAGAAAAAACTTCTGGCAAGCCAGTCACCAGTCTGAAACTCTACCTCGTCCCCAGGCCCAATCTCATGGGCTCTACCTCTGACTGCCTTTTTCAGGAGCAAAGCTGAGGCACAACTCAGGGCCTACAAGGGCTGAGTAGAGCCTTCCGATCTCAGTGACCTGGTGAAACCTAATACCAGTGTTTAAGTCATGGATGTAGCCAGTGCGATCAGCTCAAAGAATAAACAGGTCAGATAAACCCGGACTCCTCTCTCAAGACTCTCAGGCACCCCGACATCACCCGTGGCCACTTACGAGGTGCAATCTTTGATGCAATCTGTGCAGTTTCCATCCTTCAGGTGACATGCTGCTCGGTTGGAGTAGAGGACACTCTCTTCTTCAGGGTCCGAAGAACCTGCCAGGTGGAGACATAAAGCATGAGAAGATCATAAGTTTGCAAATGGATGCCTTGGGACTCTGAGGGCATTTTTCACCCTGAGCCCTCTGGTTTGGTGAAAGGCAGGAGATAACTGTGACCTAGTCAAGCTGGCAGGTTTGTCAGCCTACGAGGGAATGAGAGCACCAAACCTCCATCATCCAGAAGGAACCAAGCAGCATCTCATTCACCACTCCAGCACTGGACCTGGTACTGGTCAAAAGGCAGACATGATACACCCAGTCTACTTCAAAGAAAGCCATGCTGTAAGTAACAGGTGTGTGGTACTGTTATCAAAACATGTAAATCCAATTTAAAAAAAAAGAGGAAACAAACACTATGCTCAGTGCTATGACATGGCCTGAAAAGGGACTGTGGGACATAAAACAATTTCTGCTGGTCAAGGCAGGGGGAGGACTCAAATTACCCAGAATTCTTAGACACTTCTCTAAGGTAGTTCTTACCCTCAGGAATCTCAGAAGTTCAGGACCGTTATTATGGCCACAGTGATTTTCAGTTTAAAAAATAGTTTTTCTGCCACTTCATGCTCATCACTATGGGTCATAATTCAAACTACTATTACTAGTTCCATTCCCAGTTCTCTAGGAACTGAAAAGCAGCTTGATGCTTTGTGATAGGTTGAAATAGAGAAAACAGTATAACACATACTTAGCATCCACGACAAGACACACATTAGATTGTTTCCAACCTTATTTGTGAGTGGTTGAAGCTCACAGCATCCCCAGCTTCCCTCTTTGCTGTCTTCCCACCCCCAGAGGTCAGCACATCCTGAAGCAGGCATGTAACATCCTGGCTCGTTCATCCGTCTCTTATGGATGCAGTCACAGGTAAGCAGCATCATGTTATATCTAAATGGCATCTCACTGCCTCTCTTTCTGCAACTTGCTTTATACACTAAGTATCAAGTTACCTTTACTGTATTGACATATGATATCTCATTCAATACTAACAATAACCTTTTTCTTCTTGTTTTGTCAGTTCCTGTGTGAGACAGCCAAGTATCAAGATAAGGGCATCACAACCTCCAATCCCACCTAGAGCCCACACCAGCCACTCAATCCCTCTGATCACGTGCTTGCCAACCCATCACACAGGCTATCACTTCACAGACTTGCTAGGAGGCTTCACTGTACTAGACGCTACCTGCTCTCCTTTCAAGGTCAGGAAAACTGATCAGAAAAATCAAGGGACAATAACTTCCCAGAAACATAAGCAGGATCAAAACCAAACTCTGGTTCCTTACTAGCTCTGGTTCCCAGGCTAGCTCTTCTGGGGACCCAGAGTAAATCTATACAAAACCACAAGCTTTGGCGGGCCACCTGGGGTGGGAATGTCCACACCTCAGATTCTTCGGTGACATCATCAGATGAGGCTAAGATGAGGAGGTGAGCTTAAAAAGGAGTATTCTAGGAAAAAAAAAAAAAAAGAAGCAAAAGAGTAGCCTGGAACTGCAAAAATTCATACAGAAAAAGACTGGACTTTGGAGAACATTTGGGGAGAAGTCTAGCAAATTAATTAACAACTTAGACCCAGGAATCAGACAGACCAACTGGCAAATCCTGCCACTGCATGTCTTTTTGGCATAACCTGGGTAGGCAATTTACTCTTTCTGGCAACTCCTATAAAGTGTCTTCTCCTAAGTCTGAGGGTAAGAAGAGATAATGTCTTGATATCATATCAAGCACATAGTACAGCACTTAACAAATGTTAGTCAAGAAAGTGAGAAAGAGAAGGCAGGCAAAGAGAAGTAGAAAAGGGTTTCTGGGTAAGCCATCTTGGAGCAGATTCTGGGGAAGGGGGGTGATGGATGAAATGAGCTGGAGGCTGGAGAACTATTACAAAAACTCTCCGGTGGTTCTTTCCCATTGGGGAGTGAAAATCCAAATTTCTTACTAAGACCTGTTGTAAGAGATGTCCTCACAAAAAGGTTCAACCTATCTAACTCCCTTCAAGTCTTACTACCCTCTTGGCTGGCTCACTATGCTGTAGCTTCTAGTACACACCAAGCTTCTGTCTGGGGCCCAGTGTAATTACAGAACCCTCCCCCTGAAATACCCTTGGTTTCTTCTCATCATTCAGACATCTCAAATGTCACTTCTTCAAAGAGGTTGTTGACCTCTCTCTCCACAGGAGTTTCCCAGTCAACTCTGTCACACCACATTTATCATCTTCATAGCCACACGTCATTACAGTACATACACATCTTGTCCACTATTTATTCACTAGTTTAAGATGCATGCCCTCAACCTTTGCCTCCCACCCCCAAACAAAACCCAGAATGTATGGTCATTGAGAGAAAGGACCATTTCTGTCTTGCTACACACTCAGAATATATTGCTCAAGATATATTTAATTAAAGAATGTCTGGGAAAGAGGGCTGAACGCTATCCCCAGGGGTCTCAGAAGGAAGCCTGAATAACTTAGGCTGGGGACCAACAGGAGAATTAAAAAGCAGGCAACTCACACGGCTATGCTTAGAACAGCAAAGAACAAGTGTTGGTGAGGATGCTGAGAAGTTGGAACCACTGTGCACTCGGTAGAAATGTAAAAAGGCGCAGATAATATGGAAAACAGTATGGAGGCTCCTGTTAAATTAAGAGTTACTCTATGATCCAGCAGTCCTCCTCTGGGTATAGATATCCAGAAGAATTCAAAGCAGAACCTAGAGATATCTGCACATCCAAACTCATCACAGCATTACAAAATTAGCTAAGAGGTGCCAGCAATCCAAATGGCCATCAGCAAATAAATGGATACAATTTGGCAGGAGGCACGAGGGGGTGTGTGCGCGCACACACTCACACACACACAGGAATATTACACAGCCTGTCACACGCTACAACACATTATAATGCCTTAGCAAAATAAGTCAGTAACAGAATACACAACGGTATGATTCCATTCATTTTAATTGTCTACAGTAGCGAAAGTCAGCAAGTAGAAAGATGGAGATCAAGGGGCTGGGGTGAAGTTCTAGGGGCCTGGGGAGAGGGAAGGAATTAGTTGAGCAGGTACAGAGTTTCAGTGCTGCAAGATGAAGTTCCAGCGATCTACTGTACCACACTGTGAATATACTCAACACTTCTTAACTGCATCTAAGGACGGTAAACTTACTGGTGCTTATTTTACCAAGATAAAAAAAGTGTGATAAAACATTTAGTACAGGAATGTTTCTGAAGAACTAGCTGGGGAAAAAAAATACTTTCTCTTTCTTTTTTTTTTAAGGCGGAAAGAACGAGCCATGGAAGTTTCTCGAGGATGCCCCAGTCGGGAAGGGGTGGGAAGCGGTGTGGGAGGGCCTGGCGGGACAGACGGCCTCGGGGAACGGAACCCCGTGAAGACACAGACAGAGTCAGGTGTCGGTAGGTAGGGTGGGGGGCGAGGAGGGGCGGCGGGCCCGACAGAAATCTGGGGGGCCGGGTCTCACCTTGCGCCTGCAGCACCCGCAGCGCGCGGCTGTAGAGCTCGGCGGCCTCGGCGAACTGGCCGTTGCGAAAGCTCTGGTTGCCGGCGACGCGGAGCCCCTCCACCGACTCTGGGCCTTTGGGGGCCATTCCGGGGCCAGCAGGCAGGTAGGGGGCCCCTCCGTTCCCTCACCCAGTAGTACGGAACGGCGTCCGGACGGAAGCACCCGCCAGGAGTACTTAGGGCCGACAACTAAGCCGGCCCGGGGGGGCGGGACCGAGCGGCGCGGGGGCGGGGCCTGCGCGGAAGAAGCCGGCGGCGCCTGGCAATTGCGCATGCTCCGTTCGGAAATTACGTGCCCGCGCGCGCTAGGTACCCTGGAGCTCCCCGGCGCCCGGCGCCCGGCGCTGTAGTTGAGATACGCAAAGGCCCCGAGGCTGGAAACTTGCTGGCACCTCATGCTTTATAGATACCGGTTTAGTGAATGATTGATGACGATCTTTCCGGGGAGACTCCGTTTAACTTTGGCCTCTTCTGACTTTATGTCCCACTCAGTACTCCGTTCTTTCAAACTGCTTTTGCTACCTGCATATACCAAGGGATTTCGCTTGCCTCCCAGCTTTTCTGTAGTTCTTTTCCACTTTTTTCACTTGTCTAATCCTGATCCCAGCTACTGTCAACTCAAACATAATCTCCTTTGAAAGCTTTCCTGACTACGCTCCTCACCTATGAAGTTTTTTTCTCTGCACCTATTCTTTTCTTCCTAATTTACACCATGCCCCTCTGGCTCCTTTTATACTTTTTCTTTTCTTTTTTTTTTTTTTTCAAAGACTGAGAGGTCTTTCAAGACAAGAAGTAGGTCTTTATCTTTTGTTGCCCCAAGAGTAAGTTTCTGGCTCCCAAACTGCACTTCAAAGATTTGTTGACAAACACATGGTCCCTGCCCTGGGGAATTTAGTTACAAGTATCTGTGTAAACTTGTAATCCAAGCAGACTATAAACTTCTGATGGGTAGGTGGCCTTTCCATTTGAATTCCCTCAGCTCAAGGCAAGCCACCCCAGAGGCAGGAATGAAGAAAGTGATGGGAAAACTAGATGAGACACATACAGGCATCCCTGTTATCTACAGCACAGCTTTCCATAAGTCTGAATTTTGCCTAACATTCTCCAAGAGCAGAAAATGAACCAGGGTTTCTCTAAATCAGTCATACCGCATTCTTTTTTTTTTTTCTTTTTTTGGCCGGGGATTGGCTAAGGGGTGAGCATGTGACCCAAATCTGGCCAGTGAAATTAGAGGATGTCTACTGGGTGTTTCAGGTTTTCCTTCCTGGTGAGAGGTATAGGACTTTGCAAAAGTGTCTCCCCATCACCACTCCCCTTTTCTGCTCTGGGTAGTCATTTTGTAACACTGGGGCAATAAGCAGGCTTATGAAAAGCCAACATGCCAGTAAGACAGGGAGGGGAAAGATGCAATTGACTTGAGTCAATGAATGAAAATACCCTCAAATTGCTGACTTCTGGGCTTCATATTAAAAAACAATGTGGGCCATCCCTGGTGGCACAGGGGGCTAGAGGGGAGCACTATGAAGCTATCTGAAGCCACTGTAGCAGCACAGCCACTGTAGCACGAGTTCTATCCCTGACCAGGGAGCTGACCCAATGGCACAGCAGATCTCTCCTGTCTCACCCACTGCTCCCCTCAGCATAGTATTTCAGTAGATCCTCCTATTCTAGTCCCCACTCTGTGTCAGGTGAATCCTCTAACTCCTCACCCCCATACATCTCTAGTGTACACCCCAGTTCTTGACGCATAAATAAATACATCTTTTAAAAAGTGTGTCATGGTGCCTTAAGCGGCTGCTTAAATTTTTTTGTTCAGTTGCTTACAGATGAATATATCCTAAGTAGTACATCACATAAGTATACTTGTGGCAAGTTATATTCCAAAAAAAAAAAAAAAAACCCAAACAGTATTTCAGGTCCTCTGCTTTCTTCCAGAACATTGCCTATCCCCATCAACAGATGGAGACTAAGTCTGCTCTCCTTGGAACTGGCTGGCCCTTGGGACATGCTCAACAGTACAAATGACTTTGTGTTCCTTCCAAAGCCCTGCCATTAAAAGGCACTGCAGCTTCCTCTTGGCTCTCCCTCAGGAATATACTTTAGAACCTGACCTTTCTTTTGTGAGGAGGCTCAAGAAAAATGGAGCCTCTAGCACCTGTGTGCTCTCAGTTAACAGCCAACACCAGTTTGTCAGCCATGTGAGGGTTGAATTTTGTGTGGCGATCCATCCAAACGCTGACTGACCTGATTGACATCATGGAGTAAAGATGAACCTTCCCTGCTGAGCAATGGTCAAACTGCAAATTTTTGAGAGAGAGAGAATGTTGCTTTATGCTGCTAAATTTGGGGTGTGGTTTCTTAGACAGAAACGATAAGTGGAATTCCCTATCCACCATGCTCCCCATAAATGCCAGGATTGATAAAAGCAGGATTGAAGGTATATATGGAAGAGAGAATTTGGTGGGGGTGAGGGGGTGGGGAAGTGTGGGGTATCATTTGATAAGGTTAAAAATTAAGCCCCTACTCCTTGCCCAGCGTGCAAGTTGGGGAGACTTGAATAGATAAGGGAATCCAATAAGTATGCCATGGGAATTAGACCTTAAGACTGAACCCCATGACCAGAAAAACCAGCTCAGCTCTAGCAATGAAGAAACAGGGCAGTTCAAAGGAGAGCAGTAGCAGGAAGTCACTACCAGGCTCAGGACGTGAATATAAAGGGGAAGTAGTGATACTAAGAGTTCAGAGGTTGAAGTGGAAACAAGTCAGGCCTGTCTAGGAGTTAAAGTTGAATTCGATGCTGGGTGCTTGATCAGCGGCAGAGAAGGTAGAAGAAGACTCTCATGTCCACGCTCTGTCTCCCACTATTGCTCGCTGAGACCAGCCACAGTCAGGCATGGGAACCTGGGAAGTGAATCTGCAGCGTAAGTGTCCCAGACAAGATTTCTTAGGTACAACATAAAAAGTGTTAGCTATATAGAAAAATGGATACATTGGACTTGATGAAAGTTAAGAATTTTTGCTCTTTGAATGAATGTTAAGAGAATGAAAAGACAAACCCCAGAACATGTTTGTAAATCACACGTCTGATAAAGGACTTCATTCAGAATATTATAAAACTCTAAAATTCAATAATGAGAAGGCAATCCAATTTTAGAAAGGGTAAAAGTCTTGAACAGATACTCCAGAAAGGAAAATAGATGAATCACAAGCACATAAAAAGAAATTCGACATCATTAACCTAACCATTAGGGAAATGCGAATTAATACCACAATTAAGATGCCTATAGATGAGTCTAAAATGACGAAGGTTGATCATACCACTATAGAAGAGGATGAAAAAATAACTAGAACTCTCATATGTTGTTGGTGGAAAGGTCAAATGGAACAATCACCTTGGAAAACATTTCTTAATACTTCAAAAATATATCTTCCAATTATTTCTCACCTGATTATTTATTCAAGAGAAATGAAGCCTATATGTCTGTCCATGCAAAGAATTGTATAAAAATGATCATTGTTATTTTACCCATAGGGTTTGATTTGGGGTGGAACAAAAGTCAAAACTTTTGAACTTCAATATTACGTTTATTTTATGAAGAATAAAATAAAGAAAAATCTTGTTAGGACATAAAAAAAAATGATCATAGTTCTTTGTAACCAGATAACACCACCACCTCCAACAACAACAAAAAAAAAACAACAATAGGAAATGACTACTGTTATAAATTACACTTTGTGATGGCTTGTCACTTAGTGATAGCTAATAGATACACCTAACTAATTTCTAGTGATTTTTTTTTTTTTGGTATCTGTACTTCGCCCATATTCAGTCTCCTACATCTGTCTCACCTCCTACTTCTCATCCTTATTTGCTGTGCTCCAAACATGCTAACTCCTTGCTGTTCTTCCAACACAAGCCTTTGCCCTGGCTGTTCCTTCTGCCTCAATTATTCTTTAAACATTAGTGTGACTGACCCCCTACCTTCAGACCATTCTTGTTTTCTATTGTCTTTGTTTTATTGTTTTCCCCCTGAATGTAAGATCCATAAGCATGGAAACTTCAATCCGGTTTGATAATTGCTTGGTACTTACTGTGGGGCTTCACCCAGAGTGGATATATTCCATGAACATTTGTTGAAAGAATAGCTGACTATTCCAGCTTTTTCAGTTTGCCTGATTCTACTAGGTGTGGTTAGGTTTTCATGTTACAGTTTTCTTTTTTTAAAGTGGGGCTTTTTATTGTCGGGGGGACGCCCCTCTCATTACAGTTTTCTGTCATCATTTATGACTAGATGAATTAGTCATCTACCTCTTCTACACTATAAACTGCAAAAAAGAGGTTCAGTATTGTTTTTTATTTTCGATTTTCAGTCAGTATTGTTTCTTTCTAAAATTGGGTTGCTTTCTCATTATTGAATTTTAGAGTTTTGTAATATTCTGGATGAAATCTTTTATAGATGTGTGATTTATAAACATGTTCTGGGGCTTGTCTTTTCTTACCCTATTTATTTAAAGAATTTTTTATTTATGCATACAGAAATGGGGTACAGGTCAGTGGTGCAGGGGTGGTGGGAGGATTCACTAGAGACAGAGTGGGGAGCAAAACAAGCAGATTGACAAAGTACACTGCTGAGAGGAGCAGCAGGTGAGACAGGAGAGGTCTGCTGCACCATGAGGATCACCTCCTGGGCCAAGGATTGAACTCATGCTGAAGCAGCTGATGTCAGCTTCACAGTGCTGTGCCTTAACCTGTTGCGCCACCAGGAAGTGCCCTCTTTTCATTCACTTAACATTCATTCAAAGAGCAAAAGTTCTCAATTTTTATTAACTCCAATGTATTCTTTTTTTTTGCATATTTCAGTATTGTTATGTACTCAGAGCCTAGCAGAATGCTAATTCAGTAAATGCTGAATTAGTGAAGTATGAATAGCTACTTAAGCTACTATATTATAGCTAGTTGAGATTTTATTTAAACTAAAATTAATTATGTTAAATTTAAAATTCAGTTTTTCAGTCAGTCACATGTTCAATACTTACATGTGGCTAGTGGCCACTGACCTGGACAACACATCTACAGAACTTTTCTACCACAATAGAAATTTCTATGGAACAAAGCTGGGCAAAACATTATGTGGAATGAGAGGGTGATTCTATTGTCAGTCCACCTTTGGGGAAAACCTGGAAAGGACGAGGGAAGGCCATTGACATTGTGTACTGGTAACTTTATGGAGTACAGGGATGAATGTGTGAGCATAAGAAGAGGTTAGATGCAGAGCTGCCCTTCACAGAAGAAAATTTCACTGCATAGCAGGGTGTGAAGATAATAATGAAGTCAGAGGTAGGGTGTGATCTGGGAGAAGTACAGGAAAAGGGGATTTTGGAAGACAGAATTGATGTCTTGCAGGAAGGACCCATGATGGCTTTCTGAAATCCAAAGAAATCCAAATCTTTATTTCCTTAGGGCTCACACTAGGATAAAGAACAAAACATGGATTTTGTGGACCAAAGGAAGAAAATTCTACCCTTTGCTTTGCTAGATATGTTTCTCTCTGCTCTGACAGGACTGCCGAAGAGTCGGAAGGCAGCAAAATAAAGGCTTTGTTTGCTATGAAGAATCCTGTGGCAAAAATCAAAGGAAACATCTGAAAAGTCCAGTCTGAGTCTACCCCTGTCAAATTTATGGGCAGCTGAAAGCAGAAGCCTGAGATAACAGCTGGACTGCTCCCTCACATCTACAGGGGCATTTTCTAGAGTAAAAGAATCAAATAACGTTTGGCCTCTGCACAGATAACTCTGGATGAGTTGACTTTATAAAGTTAAGGGATCACTTTGACATCATGAACATTTCTCTAGTATCTTTAACAATGTGTTCGAAACTATTCAGAACACAATGTGTTGTTAACCAAATATGTGAGAAATTAACTAGATGTTATTTTTTCTAAATAAAAATTATGTTAGGTGTACATGTAACTTACCTATATAAACTGAGGACAAACCTGTACAGGTGATTCAGTCGCGAAGAGACATCTATTGACTGTTCCCTGGGTCCTCAGTTTGGCTCTGTATAGCCTCTTAAATAACTTTTTTTTAAACCCAAAATTCACTTCAGAGTGATAATTATTTAGTCAATTTTGTGGTGTCAGGGGATTCTGGGTTAAAACCTTTGCTCTCACCAGCTGTGTATATGTCAGCTTCCTTAACTATCAATTGGGGATAATAATTCTTACTTCTGTCTGTCGTGAGGGTTCATAAATAATTTAGGATTATAGCTGGTACATAGTATAGTCTCAGTAATAGTTTTCCTCCTGTGTCAGGGGAATAACTCCGTTACCCCATTTTTAGTTCATTCCATACTTGGATGTCTGAAAGGTAGTAGTTCTCAGGTACTAAGTTACCTAGATGGCATTCTTTTGGGGAAAGCAGTGATAAAAATAGCGAGAAGTTGCTCTGGGTGTTTTATTTATTCTTTAAAGATATATTTATTATGTACACAAGAGCTGGGGTGTAACCAGAGGTGGTGTGAGAGAGAGATTCACCAGACAGATTGGGGAGCAGAGCAGGCAGATTGAACTACACTGTTGAGAGGAGCAGCGGGCAAGATAAGAGAGCCTGCTGTGCAGTGTGGGCCAGCTCCCTAGCAGTGGGGTATACCCTTTGCACCACCAGGGACGCTCTGCTCTGGGATTTTCTCCTGCAATGTTTACCATGGATGAGTTGGGTAGAATCTGCTATTTCCTAACATTCCTTGATGGTGGTGGCATCACCATTCTGAATGGCAGTAGCTTCAGCTGGAGAAGAAAGGAAGCCATGATGCCCAAGAGGGACCTCCAGTTGTTGTAAGTTTGGGGGTGGGGGGTGTGGTGTGGTGTGTGTGATGCTCAAATCAGAAGCACCTGGACTTAAGTCCCGAAACTTATACTTTTAGTTATGTCACCTCTCTATGAGAACAGTAACAACCCTGTATTTACCTTACAGGGTTGTTAAGAGTATTAAATGAGTTAATATTAGCAGAGCATCGGGACTTGGTAAGCAGTTTGTCAAATAATATATAAAATTGGGAATAATGTTACAGGCTTGATAGGATTAAATGAGATCATATATGAAAGCAAGTACATGGGAAGACCTTTCTAAGTACTACCTATTTTTACGTCCGCAAACTGATTTAAAGTGAGGATGCTAGACTGATGTTTTGTGTCATGCAAAGTCCGCTCGGTCCATCCTCTACCTGGAACAAGCTTCCAACCAGCTAAAACGGCTAAAACGGTAGAAGCCCACAAGTAGGTCCCCGGAGCAGCGCTTCCCAGAAACCGCATAATCCTTGCTTTAAGACTCTTATCAAGCCTCAGTAGCTCCGTCTGAAGAAAGCAGGTCGGGACCGAGGGAGAGGTGAGTACCCGGGCTGGGGACCGAGCGCGCTCGGCAAACTGAAGCAGGCAGCTCCAAACCGCACGAAAGTCCGGGCGAGAATAGCCCCGGAAGGAGCCTCCCGCGCGCGCCCCGCGGTTCCCGGTCCGCGCCCAGGGGCGCCACGTGACTCAGTCGAAGTCACGTGATCCCGGCCTGCCGTGCCCCCACCCCCTCGCCGCCTCTCGCGCTCCACTTCCGGTAGGGCGGAAAGCGGAAGTGTGGGAGGGTCTGCGGGGCGGGCTGGGGTGGCCCGGGGGGAGGATGGAGTAGTGTGCGGGTCTGGGCGGCTGCCGGCAGCGCCATGGAGACTGTGCAGCTGAGAAACCCGCCGCGCCGGTGAGGGGCCACTGGCTGAGAAGGGAGCTGGGGAGGGAAGGGCGGCAAGTGGCCAAGGGGAGACACCAGTGTGGGAGCCCCGGGAGGGGAGGCATCCGCTGGGCGTGGCGACCCGGTCCTGGGGCACCTGCTGAGTGGGGGACCTCCTGCGGGAGGGGATGGGCCGAACGGAGCACGCGCCGCTGGGGGTAAACGTGTTGCACTTGCTAGGAGTCATCCTCAGGAAAGGGGGGACTGCGCACGGGCGCAGCTGTTGCGGAACGCCGGGCAAGTTAGGGGAACACCTGTGTGTGGCGGGTCTCTGGAGAAAGGCTCCCCTAGCAGGGACTCACTCAGGTGGAGGGGGGTCGTTGAGGAAGAATGGGGACCCATGAGGGGTGTCTTGTAAGCATGGGTCGGAAACAATCAGAAGAGCACTGGGTGGACTTTCTAAGAGAGGGAGTCCCACTTGAGAGTTTCGGGGTGGGGGTAGGATCTGTTGAGGGGTAAAGCTTTGAGCCTAAGGTTGCTAGGTGTGCCGTGAAAGATCTAGCAAGGGAGGGGTTAGTGGAAGATAGCATTTAGGAAGATGTTCGTGATGTTGTTATAGGACACCAAATCTGTTCCAGGTTCCCTTTTTCCTAGGGACCACCCTGTTACAATGTGACCCCACTCCAGGATGGAGACAACCGTTCTCATTCCTCATGTCCTGTGTCCTCCAAGTCTTTCTAACATCTGCCTCAGTCCTTCAGAACCCAACTTTGGGAGGTAGATAAGGAAATAGGGTGTTTTCAAAATGGACAAATTAAGAAACAGAAGAGTTGACATACAGCCTTACAAAATTTTCTTCTTTGCTCTAGGTTTGGGTAACTGGGGTGAGGGGTGGGTGAGGGGGGTCCAGACCAGCCTGAGTCTGGGTCAGTCTGTGCGGCTCTTATGCCACAATTGTTTTGAGAGTATCAGCACCAGATCTTTCTGGTACCTAGCGTTGTCTTAAGTCAGAATCATTGAGGTGGCTGATCCTAGAAAATCTGAAAATCATGATTGCAGTCATGTTGTCTCCTCTGGAGGTGAGGAGCCTGGCACCTTCACCTTACATCCGCTTGCAGAGTAAAAATACTGTAGAGGCGAGGCTGAGGGAGCCATTCTCTGAGGTGTATATAGTTAGCTTCTGTTTCCCAGCCTCCGACTTCCTGCAGCAAGATGAGTTGTTGATAAAATAGGAGGTATTCATTGTGTGGGAGTTTGGGGCACCAGAGAGGTGAAGGGAAGGGATTGGTAACCTGGATTGCACACTTGGGGGTTGTTTGAAGTGCACAAACATTGCAGAAGGCAAATAGCTGGTTGGATGGGCTCATGATTCATTCACCCTATAGTAGTGAACTGAGACTGAGATAATAAAGGTTGTTACACATACCTGCCCTTACTGGGTGCCAGGCACATTCTCATGTCTCTTGTTGAGCCATATGCACTTGTGTTAGACCATGTTAGCTATAAAAAAGGCAATTTCATATCTAGTTCAACTTACTCATTTGATCACCTAGCAATCCTTAAGAGGTGGTGCTTATCTCTACACCTCTGTTATACACAAATAAAACCAGGCACGAGAGTTTAGTGATTTGCGGAGGTCTCATAGTAAATGACAGATTCCTAGCAGTCTGGTCCAAAGTTCATTCTCTTAACTGCCTCTTTCTGATACCTCTCTGGAAGTACTCCTTTGCACAGCTGCTGTGTATGTTACTTAGATATTTGATATAGCACTAGAGTGATCCAGTTATACATGTATATTTCTTTCTGTATGTGTACATGTATATTTCTTTCCGAAGTGTGTTCATTCTTTCTCTGAGGCCTTGATTTAATGGAAAAGAGATTTGGGAATCTTTGTTTTGTTTCTACCTTTGCTTTGTCTTATGTAACTATGGACAAAGAAGTAAAATCTTTTTGCTTTTTAGTATGCTGTACCTTTTGGATTTAAAAAATCATTAAAATGGGCTCTCTCTGGTGGTGCAAAGGGTTAAAATGCAGCGCCATGAAGCTTGCTGCAGCTATGAAGCTGGCCTCAGGGTGGCAGCCAGTGCAGCTGGAATTCTATCCCCCGCCAGGGGAGCTGACCCACATGGCGCTGCAGACCTCTCCAATCTTGCCTGCTACCCCTGTACCTCTGGCCTGAACCCTAGTTCTGTATGCATAAATAAATAAACCTCAGAAGGAAATATAAGGGAACATTTTAAAAATAATTTTAAAAATGATTACAATGTAAAGGATGAGCATTGTAGGACTAAGTTCCTGAGTGGTGCGTTCTGCTTATCACAGCTAATGAACTGCTTAATTTGCAGCAAATTGACTTTATTCATTTGTATTAGTTTGTTAGGACTGTTGTAACAAGTCTCTACAGACAGGGTGACTCCAGCTACAGAAATTTACTCACAGTTCTAGAGGTTAGATCAAGGTGTCCTAGGGAGTGTTTCTTTTGAAGCCTCTTTTCTTGGCTCATACATGTTTCGCTTTTCTGTACCTTCACTTGTTCATCCCGTTGTACGTGAGGTGTGAATAAAATGAATCTGACAAGCGTTTTAAGATGAGAGAGACAGAGGCTTGAGAACTAGCTATACCTGAGCTAACTACTTCATAAACGCCCTTATTTGTATTTGGAAAGAGGACGATGTCTTTCCGAGATTCAGAGGACGTGCATTTCCAACAAGGGATAGGCTCCTCAGTGCAGGGATAGGCTCCTCTGTGTTCAGGTCTGTGTGTATGACCACGTGAATGATGAGACATTGAAATTGATGTCTCACGTAGGAGTTTATGGTTTTAAAAAGTAAGCTGCCCTTAGATGATGACGTGTGGTGGAAGGTGTAGTGGGCTTTTCTGTGATGCGGGGTGTGCAGAGGGCCACCCGACTTAGAGCAGCACCCACCAATCCATGGGCCACATGGGCCAGGCCTCTTTTTGAACAAACAATGAAATTACCTGCCCTGGGGAAGTCCAGCTCAGAGCTGAATCATCAACCTGTTTTGGGTGTAGTACTTATTCCATGAAGACTCGGGATACAATATCATGAAAAATCCCAAGGTTTTCCATAGAAATCTTTGTTGACAATCCAGTAATGCTTTTTAGGGAGGAAATTTTGTTTTATTGGGAAATTTACAGAGATGGCTGATAAAGTTGTATGAGTCCCATCATTGCATCCGTTAATCCTTTCAGCAAAAATCTGTTGACTACCTCTGGGTTCTCAGAGGTAGAAAGATCCCTTTCTCTTTGACCAAAACTAAGCAGAATCCACTTAGATTCTGAGCAGTCACATATGCTTGTCAAAGTGCTATCAGAGTCTTGCAGCTGTCGCTCATAGCAGAGGCAGCTTCCTCTGTTTGGCCGTGGTCTCTGGAGTAGTTGAAATGGTGAGTTAAACCACACGGTCAACCCTTCCAAGGAACACATCTGATCTTCTTTTATATAAGCTGTTTATAAAACTTTAATTATACTTGAGAAATGAGGTATTGTCCATTGTTTATGCAGGTCTCAATTCAGTGCTTCGCAAAAGAACCCTGATTTACGAGATGTTTATTCTAACTTCTGAGTTCATAGAAATTTCCTCGCCTGTCCCGCCCGCTGCTCCCCTCAGCAGTGGATTTCAGTCCATCTGCCTGTTCTGCTTCCCTCTGTCTCTGGTGAATCCTCTCACCCCCCAACCCTGCATCTCTGGCTTGTGCCCCAGTTCTTGTATGCATAAATAAACCTTTAAAAAAAAAAAAAAAAGAAATTTCACCTTTCAAATTTAGAAGGAGTTTCACTTCATCCCTTTTTGTTTTGAAGCTGGGAGTTTTTATGATGTCACTGGAATTTAATTTTTAGGGCTTTTTGATTTTCAAAGGTCAATGTGGTCATTTTGTCAATTTTCAAGTTTCGGCAATTATTGATTTCTCCATTTTTCTAGGCTTTGTTATATACACAATTCTGTAAGATTGTCTTTTGAGGTCAGCATTTATTGGTAGATACACTTGATCTGGCCTGGGGTGTTTTTTCTTTGTCTTCTCGTTTTGCTATTTTCTGTAGGAAGGTATACATTCATGTGTGTGTATTTTTCCTAACTCAACTTTTTTTTCTTCTAAAAGTGGGTTGTTTAAACCTTTTTTTCCCCTACGAAGTCTCCAGTGTGACTTCCATATTCTACCATTTCCTGAGCTTGCTTTTCTTTGTTGTCCTTTGTGGCTTCAGGAAGCTATTATGCAGACAATATATACACACACACAGCTATTTGTTCGCAGGGCTCCTTCTTTAAACTTGTTCATAATTTTCAGAGGTCCCTGAGGTTTTTTCCCCCACAGTTGTGGATTTATAACCTCCTGTGTTTCTTGATGGTTTTCTGGCCATGTAAGCAGCATAGAGAGAGATTTGGGGTACTAGAAACAGGTATGTGACTGCTGCTGGCTTAATCTTTCTGAGGCTTTTTGAAACTCCAAACTGCCTAGTTATTTTTCACTTTTGGTAACGTCTAAGCACTTGCGTTTCGCTTTCTGTTTCCATACCTATACAATCCGTGTATTTTGACAAATTTACTAAAACCTCACTAATGGAGAGTTGCCATCTTCTGTTTTCCTTGACCTCCTAAGAGCATGTTTCAGTTCATCGTTAATCTTGCAATAAACACCTTTTTTGGAGAGATAGTTACAGCATTTTAATCCATGGACTCTTGAAGTTTACATGGATTTTCAAGGTTTTGTTGAAAGCTGGAATCACACTGCAGCATCAGCCACATGGTGACTCCTTTCTGTTTAAATTCTGCAGTGATGGGGAGCTAGGGGCTTCTTTGAGGTGTGCTAAGCTATCTTCAAACAGCTTTTATTGCTAGAAAATTCTTGTACCTGTTGAACTGAAATCAGACTCTTGGTAGCTCTCCACCATGTAGAGGGTGTGTGTCAAGGTGCAGCACTTCCATAGGGTCACCCTTACCTATTCTTAGAAGTCTCTTTACTTGTGATGTTGCTTTTTATTACTGAAACTTTGTAGAGAAATTCCTAAGATGCTAATTGTAAAATAATGTATGCTAATTGTAAAATAATGTATTTTATGTAGTTGCTCGCAAGTAAAGTTGTACATTGTTTATATATGTTTATGCACAGGCAGCTGAAAAAGTTGGATGAAGATAGTTTAACTAAACAACCAGAAGAAGTGTTTGACGTCTTGGAGAAACTTGGAGAAGGGTGAGTATACAGAATATTTAGGTCGGCCCATGGGGTCAGTTTTTCCTCCCATGGTACTGGCAATAATTCGCAAAATAAAGTGGACAAAGGGTAATGTTGCATTTCGGCCCTGCTGTTGGTGAGGTGAAAGGTAAATTTAGATCTCAAGATGCCCTTTTTCTCTCCCTCCCAATAATGATTTAGTGAGTCCTGGGCCTTTTCTTTCTTTCTTTTTTTTAACTACTAAGGATGTCAGTGGCTTTCTGTCTTGGAGAATCCATGGCTTGCACGATTTTGTCTGTTTGACAGGACTAAGTACTTTATGCTTTATTTAAACAGTTTTTGTTAATTGGACATCACTTCTGTCCAACATGCAATACTTTTTCAATAAAAAGCAGTGGAATTCAGCATTTTAGTTCATGCAACTTTATGAACTACAGCAAAAAAATCAAGGACTTGTCACTAATAATAAAGTAGTGATTTGGAGGTGATAGCTTCCCATGGTTAATTGGCTTGATAATGGTTTTAGCATTTGTATAATTCTCATGCTCTTGAGTTGTCTGCATTAGTTTCAGGCATCATGCCTTACACAGCAGCAACCAAAACAGTGGCAGGTAAAAATGGGCTTTTTCTTGTGCTTCTCCCTTGTCAGGGAAGAAAGTCTTTCCCAGGAATCCTTTAGCAGAATTTCCCTCAAGTTTCACACCAGAACTGGGTCATATGCTAACTACTCATTCAGTACAAAGGGGAATATGAAAACTGGGACTGGTTTGACCTTCCAGTCTTTTCCTCGGGACAGGTATTTGCAACATTAATAAGGTTGTTTTCGCAAGGAAGAAGGACAGTGCTTGGGTTTTCCACACATGGCCAATGGTTGCCTTTCTCTGGCAAGAAAAGTTTGTGACATTTAAGAATTACTACACTAGTTCTGCAGCTATAAGAGATGCTCACGGAGCAGCATTTTAAAAATGCGTTTATGGCATAGATAAATATGCATATTTATAGACTGTTCTATGTTATTTTCACATTTAAACAGTGTTTGAGCTTAAACAGTCAGCTACTTTAATATATGAAGGGAAACTGCCATTTTGATTTTTTTCCACCAAAACAGTATGAACAAACAGGTGTGTTTGAGAAATATGAAAGAACCTACATGTTATCTCACCAACAGCCTTGCAGATTTCCAGCAGAATATAATCTGTGTAAGATGATGGCATTTCATTTGACCCTCACACTTATCCTGTGGAAATTTGTATTGTTATTTTACAGGTGAAAACATTGAGACACAGCAAGGTTAACAGTATCTCTGTAAATGATAGCTAACATGTTGAGATGGTAAGACTCAAATTCTAGGTCTCTAGATTCTAAATCAAATGTTCTTAGCTACTCAAATTGAGTAGAAACAAACTTTTCATTTATTTTGATAATAAACTTTAAGGGAAAATGAAGGGAAGAACAAAGAATTTGTGACTTGTGTTCACCCAACACAAGTATTTAAGGATTCTCAGATTTTTAGTTACTTTAAATATTTTTAGTGTTCCTGTGAGAGGAGCAAGGACTAAGCGACCTCATGGTACTAGAACAAATCCAGGGAAACACAGACCTTTACTTCTCCATAAAACCCCAACACAGATGTGGTGAGAGCAAACGCTTTGTGCAAACCCAGGACTTGGTTAATCCACTTATGTGACCTTGGGCAAGTCATGGAACCTTGCTGAATCTTTGCACATTTACCTGTAATATTGGGCTGACCACATTTCTTTTCTTTTGGTAAAGATGAACTAGATGCTGCACAGTTTCTAGCAGATGTCAGGCATGCAGTGCATGCGGCTATTCTAATTACCTTATTTCAGGTCAGCACATATAGTCAAGGTGATATGTGAGGTCTTTAACATGCCACTTTATGGTAGTTCTCTGAGTGACAGTTTCCTCCCCCAAAGTGTTCTAGCTGTCTCATTTTTGTTTGTGTAGCTAAGTGCATGTGTATTGATGGGGGGAAATTAGAACTGTGTTCTACCACTTTTTATCTCTTGGCTTGCACTGACTTTATAAATGTTCTCCGTTTCCCAATTTTAGGTCCTATGGCAGTGTATATAAAGCTATTCATAAAGAGACCGGTCAGATTGTTGCTATTAAGCAAGTTCCTGTGGAGTCAGACCTGCAGGAAATAATCAAAGAAATCTCCATAATGCAGCAATGTGACAGGTAAAGACATGTGGTATTTTTTCTTTTTTGCATTCCTTCTTTATTGATTGAATTCTTTTTTTCATGGTTTATTTTTAATTTATATCCTTTACATCATTGTGTATTCCCTGCAAAATTCCCACCACCAGTTCACCGTAGTCCCTGTGCTCTTCTCTGCCTGTTCCCTTTTCCTCGCCTTCCCTAGCAGACTGTCTCTTATTTATGGTTCATGTGGTATTTCTTTGACGAGGACTTGGTTTTGGATTTACTGTGATGATGAGCTTTTAACACCTAGAGATGAATTACTAAGGAATTTTGTAGAAGTGAGAGTTTGGTAGAAGCCCTGGGCATCTTCCAGAAAAAAGATGATGAAAAGTTTGTGTTTTATTTTATAGTTTCTATTTCTGCACTGTTTTTTTTCCCCTTCAGTAAGCCCTCTTCACACTAGGAAGAGGCGAAGATGCAGAAGGTAGTGTTGGCTTTAGTGCTTTTTTTTTTTTTTTTTTGATAATTATCTCTTTTACTTCCTACCGAGAAAACATTTCATCAGAGATAGCTAAGAAAAGGTGATTTAAATGCTCTTATTAGTTTTGGGAATGTTGTTACATCAGGTGGAGTTGTAAAAAAAGAAAATAAATATTACTGTCCATTCTTTACATTAAAAACAATTATTTAAGTTAAGTATTTTATTTTTGAGGAACTAAGATTTGTGAAACACTAAGCAGGAAGTTAGGCCATAGGCAACCACAGAAAAGCACATGGTTTGCTCTGAAATTCCGTGACAACATGGGCTGGTCGCTGCGATGGTGCAGGCTTCCCCACACCGATTAGAGCTGAGAGAAACACAGACTGGGGCAGTACAGCTCTCGGGAACTCAGAGGGGCTCGAGAAAGTCTCCCCTGGAGGCTGCGCCCTTTCTTCTGTAGTGGACCTGCTCAGCATCTTAACTCAGCGCTACTGTGTGTAGCACCTCAGAGTTAGGGCAGGTGGGGCTCGGGACGTCGGGAGCCTCCCACTTCCCAGACTTGAGAATGCAGTCTTTCTTCCTCGCTCTCTCTTGTTCTTTACTCCCTTGCGGTTGCTCTCTTCTAGAGAAAGGTGTTTCTTGCTTGGAGTCTTGATTGGATTGACCAGAGTAAGTCAAGGAGCAGTGTTCCTCTTTCTCCTCTCTCAGATAGATTACAGGAGCTCTTTCCAGGTGGCCAGCTGGGACCTTGCGCCTTTCGATAGATGGTGCAAGCTCCCAACAGGATATAGAGTGTCTGTGATAAGAACAGACCTCAGGAACAGCCTACTGTGTGCTAAAGCACTGTAAGGAGCACAGAGATGTACAAGGCAGACTTCTTACTCTCTGGGGCTTCATAGATTCAGTGGACAGGCCGGCTTATATATTGACCGGAAAGTCTAGTTGATGATTCAGTTGCCGACAACACACCCCAGTGTGAGTACCTGACTGTTTACATTATCATACTTGTCACATAGAGGGAGTCCAGAAAATGCTGTCGGAACTCAGGGAAGCACAAGTGGTGGTGATTGTACCTGAAGAGCGTTTATTATCCATTTCTTCACTAATAATTATTCTGTGTCTGTGTATTTTCTTTATTCCTGATGTCCTTGTCATTGGCGTGTTTCCTAAGAGAGTAGGGATGTTTGAAATTCTGAGGGTAAATGAAGCCCAGTTGCTTTTAGGGGCTCTATTTATTATACAATATTATTTAGTCCTGATAACAGTCTCATAAGCTGGTAGCTCTCAGATTACTTCATTTTAATAGGATGTTTGAATTTTCTCTGAAATTTCTTGTTTGACGTCTCTCTTTTAGCTTGAGACTTCAAGTTCCCTGTCCCTAAATCTCTCTCTTTTTTTTTTTCTAGAATAGCTTGTAGTATAATTTTTTTTTCTTATTACAGAATGTGACTTCTTGGAAAAAAGCAAATAAAAAATGTATTGTCATGGACTCGTAGTTATTCCATTATATGGGCATACCTTTATTTCTTAAACTCCCTAATGTTGGACAGTTAGATGGTATCTAAATTTTCACTTTTATAAATAGTATTATGATAATCTTTTTGATTATCTGTATATTTTTTTAAGATGCATTGTAGACTTAGAAGTGCTAGGGTTAAAGGACCTACACCATTTTTGCACTGTTACTTACTAGTCACCAGAAAAACTATTATCATTTTACATCATTACCAGGAGGGTGTCTGTTTTACCTTCAATGTGAATAATTGATTTTTTGAGCTAACAAATTAGCTTTCATGTATTTAATAGCATGTGTTAAGAGAGATTGTGAAGACTGTCCCACTGATTTGTGTTCACTATCATTCTAGCCCTCATGTCGTCAAATATTATGGCAGTTACTTTAAAAACACAGACTTGTGGATCGTTATGGAATACTGTGGGACTGGTTCTGTGTCTGATATCATTCGGTTACGCAACAAAACGGTAAGCTTGCCTTCCGGGCTGGCGGCTGAGCTCTTCTTCGTACCTTTTTCTTCTTTCTGCTGTTTTATTTCCTTTTACTTTCGTACATCCTCACCTACTGAGGTGACTCAGAATTTCCCCTTTCCACGGTCTTTCCCTGTTTCTCGATATCTCCTAAATGTCATAATTTGACATCAAATCTATGTAGTAAGAGTTAGCATTCTGAGCTTATTTTTCATTGGACAAATGTGAGTGCCAAATCATGGTCCAGCAATGCATTTTATATTTTAATTTATAAATTGCATCATTCTCTCTCTACATATTTTTCTTTTAAAATTGTGGTGTAGTACACATGAAATGCACCATCTTCATGATTGTCAAGTGTACTAGTCAGCGGCACTAAATTATCCTCTTGTTAACAACTTTATCACCATCCATCTCCAGAACTTTTTCATCAACCCAAACTGGAACTCTGTACTCGATAGAATACAAACCCGCACTTCCCTGTCCCCCAGTCTCTGCAACACCGTTCCACCCTCTTTCTTTGTGTCCGTGTACACTGTGTATATTTTAGGAATACGGGTGTGAACCTCTTCAAGTGTGAACCCCCAAGTCCACCCCCAAAATGCCCGCATCTCCCTCAGCTCCCTCTCTGGAGCCTTAGTTTCAAGGGTTTGTTTTGGTTTTGTTCCTTAAAACAATGAATTTTTGGGCCCTCCCTGGTGGCGCAGCGGGTTAAAGCACAGCACTAAGAAGCTAAAGCCACTTCCACATGAGTTCGATTCCCGCCTGCCCCGGAGGTGACCACATGGCGTGGCAGACCTTCCCTGACCGGCCCGCTGCTCCCCTCAGCAGTGGGCTTCGTCCATTTGCCTGTCCTGCTCCCCACTCTGTCTCTGGTGAAGCCTCTCGCCGCTCCTGAGCCTCTGGCCTGCACCCCAGTTCTGTATGCACAAATAAATAAATCTTTAAAAAAAAACAACAATGAATTTTTTTTTAGAAGATGGCATACAGAACTGGGGTATAGGCCATGGTGCAGGGGCAGTGAGAGGATTCACCAGAGACGGTGAAGAGCAGAACAGGCCGACTGACGAAGTACACCGCTCAGGGGAGCAGCGGGCAGGTCAGGAGAGGTCTGTACCATGTGGGTCACCTCCCAGGTGGGGATCGAACTTATGCTGAAGTGGCTTTAGCTTCATAGTGCTGTGCTTTAGCTGCACCACCAGCGAGAGCCCAAAACAATGAATTTTAAACATTTAAATGTGGGTTTGGTTTTCAGCTATGCAGGCTGTCCATAGGGTAGCTTCCTCAATATCCTATTAGTCAGAAATTATCTCAGTGAAGGATGGTTTGCTCATTCTGTGATGGCTGGGATAAAAAATCTCCCAGTCATGTGTTCTAATTCTGATTCATTTGTTTACACTCTTCGTTTAGTAAGCGTTTTTAGAATAATGTGAACTAAAAATACAACATCTTTTTCTACATGAGAGATCAGTAGTAAATACGGTAATGATCCTGCTGTCAAGGTAGTGCGCTTTCTGGTAGAGAAACAAAAAGGAAACCAGTGGTAACTAGAAATACCAGGTAGCGATAATGGTTTTGAAGAAAATAAGGGTAAAATGATACACTTGGTGCGGATACGTTAGAATAACTGGTTGAAAAAAGTCACTTAGGGAAGTAAACCCTGGAAGACAAAGACTCTCAGGGTTGTGTTTTTTTTTTTTTTTTTTAGGACCAAGCCCTCATTTTATTGAGGGACTTCAGGGCAGGAGAGGAGGGCTAAGGAGACTAGAGCCAATGTCGCTGGACAGGTGGACATCTCCTCAGCTTCCCAGTCACAGAAAGGGAACTCAGACTTCTAGAAGAATATCTAGTTAGGGGAGTAGCCGGTACAAAGACCCTGAGACTGGAGTGAGTTTAGCATGTTCTAGTGCTGGAAAGAGACCACTGACTGCAGGGCCAGGAAGGCGTCGGAGATGAGATAGAAAGGGGAGAGGGCGAGATTGTGTGGGTCCTTGCAGGAGCTTGAATTTTAGTCTTGGGTTTTAAGCCAAGACAGTGAATCCTCTGATTTATATTCTAAAAGGTTAAGTGTGTGGTCTATGAGTGGTTAAGAGTGGAAGTGGGGGATTTCTTAGCCTTTTGCAATGTTTTACATAAGAAAAATAGGAATAATAATAACTATATTAAGAATTTGCAAAACTGTAAGTAACGATTTGAATGTGTGAAAGTGCTTTGAAAATCATGAAGTGATATACAAACTATGAGGGTGGGGTGTTTTAAAGTCAGCTTTGTGTCATCTGTATTACTTATTGTGTCCTTTTCTTAATTTACATTGCTCAGAGTTAGTGTTTGCCTAGTCAAATAGCAAGTTCCTTAGCTAAGAATAATGTCATAATGGAAGATATATTTGTAAGTCCCAAAGCTTGAATAATTTATTAAATTAAAGATTGGTTTAACTCATAGCAGGCGCTTAAGGGATCAGGGGGAGAAAAGCAATTGTAATAAAGTAAAAATGAATAACTATAAACCAGAGACACTATAACCCAGAGACATTTTACAGGGGTGGAGAGGGGAATAGGCTCAAAACGGGTGGGAAAGAGCACACGGGACGATGGTGATGGCACACTGGTAACGGGATAGTGGGAAGTCCATGGAGATTACAACCAAGATGAAAAAATGCACGAAATGAGGAATGATGTAAAAAAAATAATTTAAAAAATTGGTGTACAGATCTTTTTATTTTATTTTATTATTATTATTATTATTTTTTAAAGATTTATTTATTTGTGCATACAGAACTGGGGCACAGGCCAGAGGCTCAGGGACAGTGAGAGGCTTCACCAGAGACAGAGTGGGGAACAGAACAGGCAGATCAACGAAGTACACTGCTGAGGGGAGC